CCATCTTGTAATCCAAGAAAGACCGACAATGAACTGCTTCGTGCCGGCATCTTCAGTTTTGTATTTGGTGTCCAAAGATTCTCACGGTTTTTTTGCAAACTTTGCATTACAGTATACATTATATAATGTGTTGTCCAATCCGTTGAGTACATAATTTCTGAACAGAAAGTCAGAATGTTTCCATGCATCAACCATAGCCAATTTCCCAACATCGGAATCTTCCTCTGTGTATGAAAGCGCATCTTCTTTGAGAAATTTTGCCAAATTTAATGTTGTTAGATAAAAGCGCATTTTTTGTTGCCAACACTTAAATTTTTCTGTTTTTCCCCAGTCGTATTAGGGAGTGTATTACCAGGAGTTGCCATATCTGAAACACAATCAGAAGATAAACGAGAAGAAGTAGAACCAGAATAAAGTTATCAAAAAAAATCAAAATTTTGTTTTAAGATTGTTGATTCTGGAGTATAAGTTTCTCCTTCAAACAATCCGACAGAATTACATTAATGAAATAAGCACAGCGTAACAGTATGATAACAGGATCAGAAAAACAATTCGAGCCCACCGACTTACGATATTTCCTTAAAACGAATTTGTTGCCTTCAAAGGTGCTAAAGGCGTCCAGCAATCGTTTCCCAAGATGGAACGAATACGGAAGCAGCACAACAATCTACAGGAGTTCCAATGAACTCAATAAAGTGCATTCACTTCGAAAAATAATATCAGAACGAGAGAGGGAGAAAATGAGATTGAATGCAGAGAATATTTGTAGTGAAAATGGTGTAATTATTTTGGCAGGGGGGCTAACAATTTATAGAATTGTTCGTGGCCATTCGAACATTCTTCAAGCCTTTTCAGAACAGTCGTCACTGTTCAGACAGGACCCAAAAAAATCGAACAGACACCATGGTTCGGTTAAAAGTCGGTTAACAGACCATCCAAAATTATTACCCGAAAATAAGCCTATTAATAATTTATTAAGTACCTAAGAATTTGATTAATTACAATTTGGTCCAAATTAAATAAATTTTGACTAAAAAGATAATATAGTACAAGGACGCATACGGATCGGGCTCGGGCTCATGCTCGGGCTCGTGCCGAGCCGGCCGGCCGGACGGTGACGCACTCGTGTGGGGTTTGGAGTGAATCCAATGGGATATAGGTCCCCCTCCTTTCAAAGACTATTGGTACCCCTTGAGGCCCAAATTCAATTGCCAACCTTACACTACATAAACCACACCATAGTTTCCTAACTTTCCTATGTGGGATAAGTGTATGGGAATTTTCAACAAATCAAATTATTAACTAGTTTATAGTTTCAAGTGGG